TCATATATCTCATTGTAGGATACATTATTCCTGAAAATACGACTAGGGACAAGAAAATTGAAAAAAAAACGAATCTCCTCGAATGTTGTAGTGCAAAACAACATATTCAGTAATAATAAGGCCTTTTAGCTATACAATCTAATGGAGTTTTGTGTTGTAGAACTGATTATAATATTGAATGTAATCACAATGAAATAATGTCATAATTAGTGTTCGGTCGAGGAACACAGAGGCATATTTCAGTGAGAAAACTGATCTATCCTCTGACACCTCCTTAAAGACCACAACAAACATAGTGACAGATTATTTTTCGATCGTGTTGCATTTTTTAATCCTATGAGCAATGCCGTGAAAGCTTCTATCAAAATATCAAGAGAAATGTTGACCCGCACTGTATATTGCAGTAAAAAATGCCACCTTTTTTTCTCCTCGCACATATTGCTGAAGGCTAATATATTACAAGATACAGCGATATACGTACTTCCTCGCTGATATAGCACGACAGCGTCCGAATAAACTGAATCGTCATGAATAGAAAATAAAGAGAATATTAAGCTTAGCTCCACTATATTTGAAAGAATATATTTTAAGGATTATATTCCTAGAAAAATATTTTCCACTGACTGCCGAATAACTATAGACTCAGTCAATCCACATAAGTCACTAATTTTTCTTTATTACAGACATTTTCTCTATGAGAGTGGGGTGTGGGTGTGGGTCTTCTTTTAATTTACACCCACACCCACTCACACCAACACCCAAAACAAAAAAAAATTAATAAAAACTGATTGATTGTTAGATATTTTTTGTTAAATTACTGTTTGTGTAAAATGATTAAAAACCTAGTTTCGCTCATTTTGCATTTTCTCAACAACATTAACTCTACAAAGATCTTTACTCTTGCCGTCTTCGCACTTTTCGACATTTTTTTTCAACATTAATCAGGCATACCTTATAATATTCATTCATATTATATTCTAATTCATCACTATATTTCATCATTAAACAAGTCGTATCTAAACCTTATGTTTTCAATTAAATAATGAATAATAACGAGATCGCTTTCATTTTATTTTTTTTATTTACATATAAACAAAATATAAGAAATGCATAAAGAAGAAATTTTATTTACAACACAAAAAAGGAAAATAAAGATAAAAACTATCTGGATAGATCATTGGTGTTGAATCAAAGAGAATATATTGTAATTTAGAACAATTATTACGAGCAGTATTATTTATGAAATTCTCTGTTACGATCATCAAATCTATATATTTGATATTTAATGTGTTAAGACAAGGTAAACGTGTGTTAAAGTCAAATAGAAATTGTTTAACATAGTCGATATCACATCTTGACAGATCAAGTATCATTAATGAGAATATTCAATTATCGAATATGTTTGTTTATATGTTAAATTCTTCTTCTTTTGTTCATTTTTATTAAGTATTTTCAATTTATTTAATAATGGAAAAGATTGAGAGATTCGAACAAAAAAAATCATATTCGAATGGATAAAATAAATCATGTACTACTAAATGCCGAACAGTCATGAATAAACCACCAGGAAATTTATTAGTAAATGTATACATGCGTTCCATAGTGAACGGAAGTGAGTATATATGACATTGACCCAGAATAAATGTACAATAATCAGTATAACATTCAACATGATGAGAGGACTTCTAATATCATCACCTATTGGTAAAAGTTCTTCGTTCATTATGATATTTTTGGAAATAATATTGAATATAAACGTATGTAGATGTGACATTTTATTAAGAATATCATTAACCAAATGATTTCCATCAATGAATGAAGTTCGACGACAAACAATAAGATATAATGTAACTTTTTCTAATTTTCTCATTTGACGAAGCAATGGTACTATTTGATTATCATCAGGGATGTGGCGACCACGGGGTGCAGGGGGGTGCGCCCCCCCCCCCCCCCCCCCTCCCACCCCTCTCTTTTATATTAATCGTTTTCCTCCACAACCCTATTGGTGTCTTGTGTCA